TGTTAAGAAAGACAAAATATTTTATATCAAGGACCAGGAGTTTAGAGGACCAGGAGTGGTCCAAGGTGAACAGGACAGGAGGTTTGGTAGTATGCTTGGGGGTTATATTTTGTTCTCTAGTCTCATGGTGCTCAGCCTGCCGTCCACAGATTCCTAGGGCTCCACATTTAAACTCTCAGAATCTCTAAGAGTTGGCATTGAAACTTCTTAAATTTGAATGTTTCAAATTGTAAGCATATTCCACATCATTCGTGTCATTGTGAGAGTGTCTTTAGAAAGGTGCTGATCCACAAGCTTTTGTTTCCAGGTTATGATGAAACAACCATGGAAGTTGACAGTCAGCATTTAATAATTGACTTGGTATCCAAACATATGGAAGTAGCGTTATACATGACGGAATTCACGAGTTTAAAAAAGAGTTAGGTGAGTTTTGAGGGTCATACAGCCATACAACTACCCCTTAGCCAAGAGTTAGAAAATCCCAAAACATCCCCTCTTTTCCCCAGTTTTGCATTTTCTAGAATGTCATGTAAATAAAATAATATTATATGTTCTTTGTTACCAGAATGTTTCCTTTCACTAAGCATAATGCCGACATTCATTTACCTTATTGTGTATATGTGAGTTACTTATTTGTATTGCTAGGTAATATTGCATTACATGGATACACCAGTTTTCCTCATCCACTAGTTGACAGAAGTAGAATTATTTCTGCTTTGAGGCTATTATGAGCAAAACTGTTAAGAGTATTTGCATATTGATATTTCAGTGCACGTGTGTTTCCTTGTCTCGCGTATTGGGTACCCTGAGATTGGGGTGGTTTGTTTATTTCTAGGAGGAGCAATGTTGTGAATAATACTGGGTAGGCTGGGCTTTAGAAGAGGAATGTATATTATGGCTTAAATAAGGTACTGCAATGTAGTAGATTCATCTTAACCTTGTAACTCCTGGTGTCTCCTATTTGAAACATTACCTAGTTTTTTATTTATATCACTCTTATATCGAGAACATGAGGCAGCAGTTTAGTTAGCTTTAGCTCTATCATGATGGGAAATATTTGTAAGAAATAGCAAAATGCACATGACTTAGCAAGATTAATGCTCTGATGATTTCTTGTTGAATAAGAAACCACTCCAGACCTAATAGGAGAGTCATCATGCATTATTCAGTGGTCCTGAATTCAGACAGGACACATGGCGATCATCAAGCATTGCCTACAGTGACAGGTGCCGCATGTAGGAAGGTTTAAACCTGGGTGCCTCTGAGCTGGAGCTGGAAGCTTGAGTCTTTCTCCTTTCCATGCCTCCTGGCATGTATGGTCACTGGAGGGCTTGGTGCAACTGAAATTCCACTGCAGCAAACACACAAGGTCTCTTCCTGTTGCTAAGATTTCTAAGAGCCTAGCAACGGAGTTCTAAGAGAGAGTCTTGTGGAGGTAAGACCCTGAGATTGAACATCGGAAGAACAAGATTTCAAGAAAACCAAACGGTGGTTGCATGGCTTTTTCTAACGTGACCTTTGAAGTCACATAACATCAATCCAGATACTCCACTGGTCCGAACACCTCAACCCACCAAGACCCAAGATGAGGGGCCTTGTGGAATTTGCAGGTTTTTGAAATCCCCCTAAAGATATCAAAACTAATTTTTCATGCTTGGAATTGTAAGGGATCTTAGAGCAAGGCCAGAACAGCCTAGAAGGGGGACATAGAATCCATTTTTACTAATCATGAATTTCCTCAAAGCCTGGCACCAATGTAACAAAAGGGGAATACTTTGTTTTTATATGGTGCATGCTTGTAATCCTAGCTTACTTGGGAGACTAAGGCAGGAAGATGTCAGGTTTGAGGTCAGCCCAGTCAAGTGAGCAAGACCTTATCTCAAAATAAAATTTAAAAAGAGTTGATGATATATAACAGCGGTAGAGCATGTGCAAAGCCTCAAGCTCAGTCCCTAGTATTCCACCCCCCAAAAAGAATAAACAGAAAAGAAGCTACTGCATTTTGTTTAGTCAGGAAATTTTCTATCATTGGTTTAGTATCCCTAATCAGAAATTCAAAGTACTTTTTCTCCAAAAGCATTTCAGATAATGGAGATTCAACCTGTATCTGAAACATTTCTCATCACTCTTCAGGTATAAAGGCACCTGTTGTAAAGCCTCCCCATTTTCCCTGTTCCCCCCCCCAGCCCCTCCAAAACCAGACAATTGGTGCTTTTAAGTTTTGAAATCTGTCAGAGTCTATTATAGTCTGTTATAATAAAATCCCATTGTATGGTCCTAGCATAGTATATTTAACCAATTCTTTATGGATAGATATTTGAGTTATATACAGTCTTTAGCAATCATTGTACTAATAACAATGTATAACAATAAAGAATGTTCCACTAAAAATCTTATACATTTTCCATGAGTAAGATATTTTCTAAAAGTTAAAGTAGCAGATGGTGTATGTGTTTCTAATTTTGTGTATGCAATATCATATTCCTTAGTTTGTCAAAAAGTTCAGAGCTCACATGCATGCTCTCAGCACTGTGTGAGAGTGTTTGCTTCCCTTCAGCTTTGCTACCAAGTGTGTGATCACGTTTTTGTTTTTGCTATTCTCACAAATAAAAGATGGTAACCTGATTCAGTTTTGTCTTGCATTTTTCTTAAGTAAGCTTTTCATTTGCTTAACCATCATTTTTCATTATAACTGTTCTTTGCCTACTTTAAAAATTAAATTATTGCTCTTTTTCTTACCTACTTTTAGGGTCTCTTTCTTACTTTTATTTTTGCCTTAGAAAATGTTTTATGGAATGGGGAAACAAGTCAGAGATGAAGGATGAAAGAACAAAATAAAAAATGAATAATCATTAAATAAAATCAAACATGCTAAATCTGGCTAGTGACAGACACTGGTTCCTATGTAGTTGTTTTTATCTGACAGTTGATAATAAAATGTGTAAGATTTAATGGTGAAGGAAAGGCCCGAGACACAAAACACCAGTTACACTCTGGTGTACCTTTATTTACACTGTTTTTACTTGAAAAATTTGTAAGTATTACAGAAAAATTTCAGTCGAAAGGAATAAACTCTGGAGATCTATTTTATAATATGGCAAGTATAGTTAACAATAAATTGTTTACCTGAAAATTACTAAAAGAACAGATATTCAATGTTTTCTTCACAAAAGTCTAAATGTATGAAGCAGTGATTCATATATGCACATCAAAAGTCATGTAAATAAATACAGTGTAAACAAATACAGTTTTTATTTGTCAATTTGAAAATGAAATTATTTTTGAACTATCATCTATTGTAATTCTTAAATGTCACATTCTTTTTTATTTTTTTTTGCACTGTGACCCTCATTTATACCTGTATTAAGTGGTAACATCATAGTACATATTCATTTTATCATTGGTATTTTCGTATTATTGTCTAGTATATGAGAAACATTTATGTAATCATGATTTTTAATGGTGCCATTAAAATATACTAGAATATCTGAGCAGTTTACTAAGTATGGATGTTTAGGTTGCTTGTATGTTATTTTAAGTACTACTGCTGCAAATATTTCCCTTTATCATTTTGCATTTGTTTAATTATTGCCTTAGGATAAATTTCCCGCCAAAATCATATGATAAAGCATGAGTATTTTCATAGTTCTTTGTGTATACTACTACATGGTTTTTCAGATTGTTATAAAAATATAAAACCTAGCCAGCAGTAAATGACAATAACGGAACTAATTTACATTGTCAGGATTGGACATAACATTTAAAAAAAAGGGGAGCAACCTTGCCCGTTGCTCCACATGCTGCTCCTCAGCCCCGTGTGTGTGTGTGTGTGTGTGTGTGTGTGTGTGTGTGTGTGTGTGTGTAATTTCCTGTTGCCTCTCTCCACAATTCCAATCTGGGTCATTCCCCACCCTGCTCCTGTAAAAATCCTCTCATGCTCAGTGGCTTCAAAGAACACAAAAGTACTGTCATAGGTCCCTAGGTCTCTTGCAGGGCATCGTGGGTGTGGATTGCTCAGGGTCTCACCATGGTGATGTCAACAGGTCAGCAAGGCTGTGCTCTCTTCTTGAGCTCTGGGTCCACGTCTCAGTCCAGCAGGCTGTTGGGAGAATTTGTTCCTCATGGTAATAGGGGCGAAGTTCCTGTTCTGTTCTCACAGGCTGCTGGGCTCCCTCCTGCCCCAGGGAGGCCTCCCTGAGGTCCTGGCCCCAAGACTTACCACATGGCCCTGTGCTGCTGCACTGCCAGCAGGGCATGCTCTCCAGTCCACCTGCCTGGAGTGTTGTGTAAGGTGTGCTAATCACTGGTGGGAAATCCGTCCTTTTTATGGGTCCCAGCCACACTGGAAGGGTGGGATTTCCATGGGTCACATGAAAGCTGAGAATTTCACAAACTATCTCAGCCTACCTCAAGACCCTTCCCATCCTTTAGTGTCCAGTTGAACTTATGTTCATTTCTGGAGCTCTTTTTATGAGCTTCCCCATGCTCTTACCAAGAGTAATCATTACAGTGTGTTTTTTTTTAATTTTTAAATTTTTTTTGGGTACCAGGAATCAAACTCAGGACCTTGCACTTTTCAGGCAGGCACTTGTGCTGCTGAGCTATATCCTTGGCCCTCATTACAGTGTTTTGATGAAGTTGAGCTTCTAAAGATGGACACATACTTTCTGCATGTTAACAGTCCACTGTGGCACATTATGAACATAGGTCCCTACATAGTAAACCACTCAGGCATGGAGCCTACCTTGTCTCTTCTGTAACCTGCACAGAGTTGGGTAAATATTTTACTCAGAACAAGAAGAGATTCCAGAGAAAAGGAAAGTGGAGGCATGGGGAAGGGGAACCTGGGCCCTCTCTTGGGTGGGTCCAGAGTGCTGCTCCCAAGCATTGCCACTGTAGGCACTCCATGTCACTGGTGCTCACCAGGGAGGGATTTGTGCCGGTCTAGTCTTTACGGTCTTTATAGTTGCCTGCACAATTGTTTTGTTTTCTATTTGTAGCTGGTGCACAAGATCGAATTGGCTGGGCTTTTGGTGTAGGCTTAGAAAGACTGGCCATGATTCTCTACGACATCCCGGACATCCGCCTCTTCTGGAGTGAGGACGAGCGCTTCCTGAAACAGTTCCACCTGTCGGACATTAATCAGAAGGTGAAGTTTCAGGTAGGATGGCTTTCCAAGAAGTAAGCAAATAATCATTAAAAAATGGTTGTCAAAGACAGAATCACAAAGCGTACTCAAAATCTATTGAATTTTAAAATAATATAAACTTGAAAAGAAGCTTTTAAATGGAGGCTTATAGCCACTACAGGGGCTCATAAACCTTCAGAAAAGAGATTTAGCATTTCTGGGGGAAGCAGAGAACCAACCTTGAGCTTTGTTGTTATTTTTGTTTTGTTTTTTTCCGGTACCAAGAATCGAACTCATGACCTCACACTTGCCAGGCAGGCGCTGTGCTGCTGAGCTAAATCCCCAGCCCCCAACCTTGAGCTTTGTTGAATGGAATACTCATCTTGATCACTGGTGATATTTTTCTCTTAAAGTTTATCTTTTCTGATAGTGATACAGACGTACTGGCTTGTGATTAGTGTTTGCAAAGCAGTAAGTGCCCTTTTGTCAGTTATTTTCAGTGTCCTGATACAAGTGGATCGCGTGTAAAAAGTATAGTTTTGGGTCTGTTTTTTACACCAAGATTTAAAATCTCTATCTTCTAACTGGAATGTTAAATTTACTTCCAATTAATATAATTACTTATATGATTGGGAATGATGCTGTCGTCTTTTTATATCATCCTTAATTTCACCATCTATTCTTCATTCTATTGTTTTGAAAGTGAGGTTTATTGCTTTTGTTTCTGTCTTCCATTTTATTTCCTCTGTTGCTGTTTAGTTTCACTTTATATGAGTTTTAAGTGGCTACCCTAGATTATAATATGCATAATTAATCTTACCCTAGATTATAATATGCGTAATTCATCACACATCACCATGAAAACAATCTTACACAATTTTGTGAAATATTTAACAGCCTTATATTAGTACAATTCTATTTACCTATCTTATTCTTTGTATTATCATATTTCATTTTCCCATATATTATAATTCTATAATATATAGCAATATTTGCTTCAGATATTCAGTTATCTTTGGAAGACATGCAAGCTGTATTGCTTCCTATTTCTCTTGATGCTAACCGTGCTGATACTCCTTGCCGTAGGTCTTGGATTTTCCCACTTCGGAAGGGTTTGTGCCTGTCTAGTCTTCACAGTCTTTGTACTTTCTTGCACAGTTGTTTTGTTCTGTCCCTTCGGTATAAAGAACTTCTGCTTTAGTGCAAGATGCATTTTCTCAGCTTTTGTTTGTCTGGAAATACAGGTGTTTCACCTTCATTTTTTAGGAATATTTTCTAGACCTATAGGTGTCCACATTGCCAGATTTTCTGGTGGCTTTTTAAACATGTCATTTCATTGCCTTTATTTCTTTTTTTACCTTCCGTTTTCCACAGTTTGACCTGTGCATAATTTTCTGTCTGCTGTCCTGCTTGGGGTTTGCTGTGTTGGGTTAATGTCTTTCAGACATTTTGGAAAATCTCATGTGGTTTCTAACAGCTCTCTATCATGTCACAAGGATCCTCTTCTCTCCCGTTTGCATTGTGGTCCTTGTTTCATTAAAAGCTTTCATGAGCAGGGCTTTTGACATCCCTAATTCTACCATCAGTTTGTTTGTGATGAATTAAATATTCTCTATAGAATATCCTCACTTCCTCCTTAGAGCATTAGAGTCTTCAGCATCTGTATTCTTTCAACAGTATATTGTAGGTAACTAGGCTCTTTATATGATAGTGCTCAAATTTCCCTGCGTATCAACTAATTCTAGGGCCACTTGCACAATGTTAGGCATTGGTAACAAGCAGCATCTTATTCCAGACACTGAGATACGTGTTAGTTTCGTGTGGCTGCTATGACAAATCACCACAGATTGAGTGGCTTAAAATGACATAGACTGATTATCTTATACTTGTACAGAGCAGAAATCCTAAATCAGCCTGCCTGAAAGTGAAAGTATCAGCAGGACCTGTTCCTTCTGGAGGCTCCAGGCAGAATCTGTGTGCTCGTGGCAGGCTCCAGAGGCTGTCCTTGTCCCTTGGCTCTACATCATGCGGCCGCCCCCTCTGCTTCCGTTTGGGTCTCAGCACCTTCTCTCTGCATTTGTGCCTTCTTCTTATGAGGACTTTTGTGATTGCACAGAGCCCAGCAAGATGATTCAGGATTGTCTTCCCATCTGAAACCCTTTCTCAGTCGCTTCTGTCAGTTGGTCGGTAGCATGTTCCTAGGTTCCAGGATTTGGACATCTCTGCAGAGGAGGAACCTTCTGTAGCCTATCTCTTATACATTTTTATATTCAGTTTTGTTGTGGAAATTGCTTACTTTCAGATATAATAGTGTTATTGATTTTTTTTTTTTTTACTGTTTGTTTAGGCTGGCTATTTTTATATTGATATGAGGGAAATAAGAGACTTTGTCAGTGCCATTAGCCTGTCTTAAAGAACAGTATCTGAACAATCCTAGGCAAGAGTCTCCCCCAGCTGGGAGGACAGGAGACACCGGGAAAGGCCTGCTGGCCCCTCTGTGCTTGTGGCTTGTGGCGTCTCTAGCCGGGAAACTGGGTGCCCTTTGGGAACCTGCAGGAAGCAGACAATCTAAATTATGCTTTAGGCTTTTCTGGCCTCTGTGGTATCTTACAGTCTCCACGCTTTTCAATCCAACCATTCCTGCTGTGAGGGACCTGTCTCAGTTTAGAGCGCCCTGAGACCTCACTCAGGTAGCTCTTTGCTATTGAATTCCACAGAAGCCATTGTTAGGTCTAACAGGTAGGAGACGCAAGTTCTGTGATTCTCATTCTTGGTTTTCATTTCACACGTTTTGAGTTGCAAGCTTTGTCTGTCGTGGCTCTAACTCCCTGGCTCTCTCAGGGCTTGACATGAGGGGATGACTGTGTGCAGCTTTGTCACACCAGCGTCCCTCGACTCTGCTCTCACCGTCCGCCATGCCCACTTGCTGTGCAGGGATCACCCAGGTGGCCATCACACGCTGTCCCGTGTGCGCTCCAGCTGACTGCCCTAAAGCGCCATCCGTTGTTTCGGTGCCTGGAACTGAATATTCAGTAATCCAACTTTTACTCAGTCTTTAAATGTTTTATAAACTGTCCAAACTTACGAATTCAATACCTAGTTGTACATGGAGTAATGCTGATTACTGACAGTTACTCAACACTACCTTTTATTTACATAGTCTACGCGCAAGTCATTAATTACACATCTGACCATGGAGGCTCACTACTAATTCAGGAGTATTAGCTGCTATCTTTCCCCCCATTGAAGGGTTTCCCTGGCCCCTCTGTGACCCGAGATACTCAGATACTCATTACTACAGCAGGTGGTTGAGAAGCGTGGGCGATGTGTATAAACCTAGCTCACCACAGTTAGTCACACTGGGTAGTTGATGCTCACTTTGGCATTACTCCATAGCGAACACTGTCCTAAAAGAGTCACCTGTCTTCATTTCGTCTTCTCAGAACGCTCTGCGTTTAGGTATCACGGAAGAGGAAACTAGCTGATAGTGATCTCATAAAGCAGCATCAGCACAGCCTCGTTCCTTCAGGGCTTCAAGGAGGCAACCGCCTCACCTAAAATTCCTAGGTGAAGTTTGCAGAGCCAAAGGACTTAAGTTTTTCTAACAAATCCAATCACTAGTTGTACAACTTACAGAAAAATAAAGCCTTGAGTTTAAATGACCTACTTTGTGAATTTATTAGCAGCAAACTACATAGATTAATGTTTCTCAACCTTGAATGTGTAGATGAATCGGCTGTGGACTTGTTCAAATGCAGATTCTAACTCAGTAAGTGTTGGGTAGGGGCTGAGAGTCTGCATTTGTACCAAACTCTGAGGTGTTGCTTGTCTGTGAGCCACGCTTTGAACTGAAGCAGAGGTGAACAAAATTATTTACTTTGTCAGTGCCTCAGCACCCTCATCTTTAAAATGTGATCGGGTCTTCTGGTCGGGTGGCTAAGCTTACTTTCTCCCCTGCCTTCTTCTCATTTTAGGGTTCATACAGCTGTTCCATTAGCATATCTATAGTTTATGATCACTGTTGCACTTAATCTTGAAAGTCTTTTCTTTATTCTTGCGCTAAATCTTTTTACCATAAATATGAGCATTGTGAAATTTTTAAAGTTTTAATGAGTGCCCTAAGGTTTCCTCCACACTTCCCTTTTCTCCCTCCCTTCTTTCCTAATTTGTATTTGTCCAAATGAGATTGTGTGAATAAAGTTGTACAGTTTAGATGCGCATTAAGCAATTATATTTAAGTCAGAGATTTACATGTGTACTTTGATTTGTCAAAATGTTACTATTTAAATAAAAAAAAATTGAACTAGGTTTGATGAACTAAGAATCTGGTAGGTTTCTGCTGGACAGTAACTCTGAAAGGCCCTCGTATCAACTCAGCCATCGCTGAGGGCGGCCCGGGCCTACATGCCAGGGGGACTGTGTCAAGCTCATCTGTGCGCTGGCTATGGCACCAGTCATCAGCACTGAGTGCTGGGTTGAGGACAAGGAGCTTCTAAAGAGCAGCGTTGGCTCTTTTCCCTTATTTATGCTTTCTGGCAATCACAGCTCAATACACCAGTCATCTGTACATTAATTTATTGAGACATTATAATCCTGGCCACTTGTTGAATGCTCTGTGCAAGCCATTGAATTAAATCCTTTGCCTATTGTAGTAGGTTTTATGTACCATGATGGAGGGGTAGACACTCTAAATCCATTTTGTTGGAAATGAGACCAGGGTTTGACAGCACCAAGTAACTCAGCCATAGTAATTCTGTTAGCAAATGGCAGAGGCAGGACTTTAACCAAAGGTGACTCCAGAGAGCTCTCATACAGAACTAGTGAGCGCCATTACCACCTACACTGAGGTGCTGCACTAGATGCTGAGTAAGGAAGGGGAAGTTGATAGTTCCCGACTTCCATTTATTTCCAGAAAGGAGGAAGAGACCGACCTATGAAGAGACTTATAAAAATAATTGGGAACAGTGGTGGAGCTATTCGTAGGTGAATGTAGAATTTGACTCAGACTGACCAGTGAATGTGAGGTCAAAATT